ATCGCCAGTTTTACCTTTGGCATCTCGTTTATTCGGATCGCTTATTTGTATTGAGTAATCCTACGTGGCGTAGAGCTCATGTGACGGTTGGGTGACTTTACAGGGATCCAAATGTAAATGCAATTGTTTTGCAGCATTTTCGTTGAGGTCAAAAAGCTTGACTCTAATTTGCATATATGGTGACTGTAATGCGATACTTCTGATTACGTCTCGGAAGAATATCGACTTCCGTTCTGCTTTCGAGATACATTTGCTATCTTTACTCATATATACAAACCATTTGTCTATATCAAGACAAATGGTTTGTTTCAGCATCAAATTGGAACAGCAGAGTAGTTTGACTTAATTTGTTGTTTCGCTATAGATTTTTAACCTTTTTTCCCTATAAAGTTCTACTGAGTGAAATTTTTGTGAAAGAAACATTAGTTTCCATGAAGGCAATGCAACCTTTTCTTCCAGAAAGTACTTTTTGCGTCCTTTCTAACGAGATACGGTAAACTGCTCTGCTGTAAATACTTTGTGAGAGTATTATGTAGAGAATATCATGTGATAGAATGAGTTAAACAGAATGTGTTGGTTTAGTTAACTTAGTTAATTGTTTGGATCATACTCATGGTAAGATGCCTAAGTTACTGGAACAGTCTGAGTGATATAGTTTACAAAAAAAATAAAATTTTTAGTTCATACAGAAATGTTCAATATTATTGTTTTCAATCAGCAGAAATAAAAGAAAGCGGGGGCAGATTTAGTGATAACTATTACTAATACTAAACCAGTCTACTGCAGGAGTATGTGAGTGTACCTCATAAAACAAGAAAATTACTTATTTCATGGCAACATATATACCAAAACATCAAACAAAAGTTCACTCTGTTAATATAAAACTTTTAAATACATGGAGTGAGTGAGTCATGAAACTCAATCAGTGCACAATAAAATTATTTGGACTGATAATGAAATGCATGAAAAATTTTAATCTAATAATTTGGCCCAGCCTTTGACGGAGTATGGTGGGCCTCTCACAACTTGTAATAGATCTCCAGGCTTTTTCCAAACTCCTTCCAAAATATAACAACATGTAAGTGTTTTCATTTGCAGATTCAGCATAAGCAGCAAAATTGCGGCTTTTGATAGTCCAAAAGCCTGACTTTACATTAATCAAGAATAAGACACTGTACCTTTCCAAAGTGCTTGACGACATCCTGGGTCAGTTTTTCATGTGTGTCAAATTTTACAGAGTCCAAAGGAAGGACAAGAATATCTTGATCTTTTTCAAACGAGGAATCATGATCAGTAGCAATAGCTGAAATAGAAAGATTAAAAGCAAATTTATTATGGAAAGGGCAAGAAATTAGCCAATATCAGTAAATTATTAGTCAAAGAGGATTTACTATGAATTTTTTTTAATGTGTGATCCTAATAAGGGCAGATAAGAGCCTTAAGTCTGAAAGTTCCCATGTATACAGGTATGCAGTGGATGACCAGGAATTTAAACATTGAGATCTGGTAATTTGGGAAGGTGTTGCTGGTAAGATATTTTTGTTCTTGTAATTGATATAATAACTGGTAATCAAATATCTTAAACATGCAGCCTGACTGAAGCATAATGCATGGTTTACTTGTAACACTCATCAATTGTCAGATTCCAGAAGGATCAAGAGGGCTAGGTTCTACCTGCAGTGGCGGATCTAGACCTTAAGCTAAGGGGGCAAGGGACTGCTTGCCTTGCCGGCTTTTCTTCCTTCTGCGATTTGCTTTTTANAGGGGGGGGGGGGTCCCTGGGCTCCTCCCCTCGATCCACCACTGACCTGTGGTTGAAATCTGTGTCTTCCTACATCAATCACAATACAGAAATAATCTGTGTCTTTCTGTAACCAGGAAATGAAATCAGGGTACTTTTTTTCTCATTCATTAAGAAAAATGCAGGGTTGGGAGTGGGGGACGGGGATGGGCTTCATTTGTAGTTCCACTGTGTGAATTCATATATTTAATGGATAATTTAACAATTTGCAATATTTGAAGGAATGCTGATACTGAGGGGTTAGCCTTGGGGGATGGATACTACTGGAGTAGACTGATGCATAAGGAAAGTAAAAAAAACTGTGGTGACATAATCTGATGGCAAGCTGTTCCACAACTCAGCTCCAGTGGATAAGGGAACACCACTGGGGTGTCAAATAAGCTCCCAGGTCAACCAGGGAGTTTGCATTAATGCCTGCCCCCTAGGCAGTAATAAAATTTCAAATGCCCCACCCCCAGGAAATGCCTGGCTATCAGGGCCGGGTACAGGAAGGGGGAATGACTGGTGCATCGGTTAGGTAAGCTAAAGTTTACTAGTAAGTCTTATAATAAGTAGGGCTATCCAATGGTCTTTGCAAGCACTTGCTAGCGTGCAAGCACCATGTTTATTTTTGCAAACAAAAGCAGTGATCAAATTTGCCTTCCGAAGAGCGAGCACTTTAGAAAATACAGATGGCAAGTAGCAAGCTCTTTGTAAAATTTTCCGCTAGCTGGAATCTCTCCTTTATTAAAAGGAAATGTTGTTTTGGCATTAAGTAATCTGGCTTATACCTCCTCCAAATAGGCCTTTATACAAATATCAGCATATTTGAAGTTTCTGAGACATTTAGAAAATATTAAGATGTTTAGATATTTAGAAAATATTAAAATTTTTCGAAAATTTATGGATGTTTAGAAATACTCGTAGCCTTTTTTTTTCTAAGCTCTGTGTTTTCCTCACTATCTTCTCAAAACAATAACCAGTTCTATGCTACAATAGAAACAATCCAGTTCGGCAGAAAAAAATGTATTCCATATCAGTAGAAGGGCTAGAACAGCAATTTTCCAAAATTTTCCAAAATGGCGAATGCTGATAACATGGATGTGACTTGTGTAAATTCTTCTTCCTCAACTCTTACTACTGCAAGAAAATTCTGGAAATTTTGCCCTCAGTATTTCAAAATCAGTGTTTTTGCAACAAAAATAAGAGATATTACTTTTTAGAGGATTTTTCCTAGATATTTAGAAAAATGTTTACTGGATATTTAGAAGATTATTTGAAAATTGATGGAAAGATATTTAGGGATTTTATGCGATATTTGTGGAAAGGCCTACCTCCAAAACAGGGCAATATGAAACGCATTAAGATCTTATCACGGTTCAACCAATGTGAATTTTAATAAAACGTCAACAAAACAAGGAAGTAGGTTTCCAGAAACACTCATAGTGCGTGCATGCTTCCCCAGTGCATCCCAGTTTCGCCATACGGGAAACATTGTTTCCAGCATCAATTTTTTGTTTCTAAGATGCACATAGACCAATTTCGATATATTAAAATTCAGCCTAAAACAATAGACCTCAGCACGAGGCTCTGGGAAATACACCCCACAAACTCTGTAGTTGTTCCCCAGAGACTCGTACTGAGGTCTATTGTTTTAGGCTGAGTTTTTGACTTATCGAAATTGGTCTATTATGCTTCTACTTTACGGCAGAAACATTTCGTGTTTTCGCGAGTCATGAAATCATGTATCCTTGTTAGCCAGGCCTTTAGTTTTTGATGAAAATAATTAGAGCACATTTTAACGAGAATCCGAGCATACGAGCAGTTGCGAAAATTTTGCGAGCACGAGCAAGCGAGCACTCATCTAATTTTTACGAAAAATAGACCTTTTCCGCTAGGGCGGTTTGTTTCCATTGCAGACCACGTGATATTCCCCAGAGAATTGTTCTTTTGTCCATCTGAAAATTTCTTATTCATATGCACACGACTATTTGAAAATCTGATAGGATGAATTCTCAAGAGTATCATCACATCGTCTGAAATGGGGCAACAAACTGCCCTGTCGAAAAAGGTCTGTTCGACCAAAGGCCAAATTGCGAGCACTTTTAAATTGAGTGGGACCATTCGATACTCCTTTAGTGAATAAGTACGATGTGATTGAATGCAAACCCTTTTTGTCCAGGTTATTTTACCGTACCTGCACAATTCTTCTTGACTCTCTCTAATTCTGCCTTCCTTCTCGCAGACAGTACTAATTTGCAGCCATATTTGACCAGTTCATAAGCCAAATATTCACCGATACCGCTCGAAGCGCCAGTAATCCAGACCACTTTCCCGCGCAAGGCAACCGCTGGATCTTGACCAATCCTCTCATAAATCATCAATATAAAATCACCATCTTGGAATTTGAAAAGTAAGAAACAAACAAGAGGAACAAGAACTGCAGCGATCAAGAAGTTTCGGCGCATTACGATGACCTCCGATTGCGATGACCTCGATCGGATGGGTTTGCAACTCGTTACCTTTGCAACTTATGACCACTTATGTTAGAAGACACGTGACCAATCGGGGCTGGAGCAAAAACTTTATGGAATAGGAATCGAGACCAAGGACCAAGGAACGAAAGAACAGTAGACATGGAATTTTTACCTAAAAGTGTTACATCACAAAGAAGCCATAATCGATAAACCTGCGGAATTTAATTTTTGATTTATTTTTCATGATTTGAGAAATTTGTGTTTAGATATTCCCTCAGCCGCTACTGGTATGGGAGGGGTTTATCTGATTTTGCCACTTCGCTCCGTTCGCGCGAAAATTTTCCAGCCGATAGATCTTTTTTTTAATTTTTACTGCAGTCAGATAATGAGTCACTTGTGTCAGAAATACAAAATATTGGTGGTCATCGACTTCGTTTCAGAGATAAAGCGTGTGGAAAACTAACTCGATTTTGAAAAATTGGCGCAAGTAATTCAGCATGGTCTACAGGGGTTTAAAGTTAAAATATGGAAGGTGAGTCGACGGAGGAAAACGACCTTAGTCGTATTTTGCAGGAGTAGGTCTGTTGCGTAAATAATTCCAAATGTTACCAACGTTTTCACAAAACCAATCCCTTCAAGAGGCATTTGAAACCATCGCAAAGATAAACGAAGAGTTAAAAAGAACGGAATTCGATGGTGCATTTTGCAAAAAATTCAAACTTCTAGTCGACAGATTTTCTTCATTTTTTCGCTTAACGTAGAAAATCGGTAGAGAATATGATCCATTAAAAGAAAAGGGAACGAAGACGCTGGGTACAAGGGCGTCCTTGAATTAGTTTAATTAGTCGAACTCTCATGGGAAACGAAAAATAGTTCGAAATAGCGGTAGTTCGAAATAACCGATAGTAAATGACTGAAGGGCAGATCCAAGGGAAATGGTTTTGAGTTCGAAATAACCGAGTTTGATTTAGCGGGGTCCAAATGAAATGCTATATCTTTGCTGGTCGTGTTTGGTCTCAAAATGTTCCAAGATGTTTTCCCTTTCTCTATTTACTGTTTACTTATGTCTTTTACCG